CCCCCAAAAAAAAAACAAAAAAAACAAAAAAAAAGTATTTAACCAAAGAGTAATTGGATCGTCGGAGTTTATTTATTAAAATTATTGAAATAAAAAAAAAATGAACAGAGCAAAATTAGCAGACCTTCTGATGGAGAAATGCAGGGAACCAGAGAGGAACGTCGTGAAACTACGCCGTTTTGCCGAAAAATGTTCTACGTTGGTGGGCCGGGCTACTTATTCAAAGGTTTGGACTTTTGAAAGTTTTGTGTTGGTGGGGGTGAGCGGAATGGATGGGTTTGAATAATATTTTGGTTTTAATTGTTACTCTTTATATATATATATATATATATATACCAAAATGGGTTTTGGGCATGGTTAAAGAGATTACAATTATTTGGCAAAAGAAATAAAATTGGGTTACAAAAATTTGTTCTGCTTATATATATTTTTTTCTTTTTAGTTAATTTTTTATTTTATTTTCAAGACTTATTTAAAGTTAAAAGTACAAAATTATCTCCTAATAAGTTCTAAAAGTTGGATATTGATAAAATTTGTTAGTTCTTTAGATTTCTCTTAGAATTTATGTTGAGTTTAATTTAAAATTTTATTTAATAAAATATAAATAGGAATAACATAAGAATTAGATCAAAATTTGTAGAAAAGAAGTATTCTAATTCTAAGATATAATTTATTTATAATTCAAGTTATATGTTTTAATTATTTTATTAACATGTGAAGACATATTGAAATTTATGCATGTTTTATAGTAAAAACAAAAAATGTATAATTGTTAAAGATTAAAAAAAAAAACTATTTTTTAGAATTTATACGATAATTTAAAAAAAAATTGTCATCATGCTTTTCTAAATATAAACCAACATATAAAAACACCCAAAGACACATTATTTGTTTGTATTTGAGTGTGATGCAACCAAGTTGAAAAAATATACCCTCCCCCCCACCCCACAAAAAAAAAAAAAACAGAAAATAAATTACACGTGTAGGAATCTGAAAGAAGGGGCACAGAATGAGTATGGTTTAGTCGGTGAGAGTAGATAATACAACTCAAAAATTCAAATAAAGCCAAGAGACAAGTACTAATTACTGTAACGTTGTAAGGGTAGCGTGTCACAGTCTTCTTCCAATTTGGCCATCTTTTGCTGGCTGCTTAATTCAATAAAAAGCTACTGCCCTTTTTCCTCTGTAACGCCTTCTGCTGCTTCTATCTCTCCCTTTCTGTTTTAACTTCCTTTTTCCTCCTCACCGCCATTAGCAACTAGCTATTTCATCAGCCCAACTTGTCTGTTTCTCTCATTTTCCGGTAAAAAGAGAGAAAGACCCAGAAAGGCAACTGCAGAGTATCAGGCACACAGAACATGCTTCCTAGAGTGACCGGTGTTGTTTGGATGGAAGATAGAGAAGAAGGACACTCTTCTTCATGGAGGAGAAACAACGAAGTCACTAACACAAACTGTGGTATGGCAGAAAGCAAAGACGAGATTACTTCTGTGGTTACATTCAAATCCATGTTTGATGTAGGAGATGACTGGTATGCTGCCAACAATTCTATGCACAACCACCGGGATATGAGAGACGTCGATTTCTCATCAAATCTGGGTGACCCAGATAATCTATTGCTACAACCAGTGGATTCTTCCGCTTCCTGCTCACCATCTTCCTCCATGTTCAACAACCTTGACCCATTTCAGCTACACTACTTCTTGTCTCCTAAACCCACCTTGCCTTCATTCCTTAATGTTGCTCCTAACAACCCTCTAGAGAATGGGATCGATCTAGCTGAAATTGCCTTCCTTGAGAGCCAAGCAACAAATGCTTCTTCTACTCTGTTCAACAGGGGAAGTGGGGCTTTGTCTAACTTCACTGATTTAATCTCCAGCAGTCAGATTACTGCTCCCAATATGTGCTCTGAACCTCAATTCTCAACCACCCGTATGCTTCAATTGCCTGAAGCCAGCGCTGGTTTCACGGGTTTTCGGGGTTTCGATGAGAATTCTGGGAATACTCTGTTTACGAATAGGTCTAAACTGTTAAGGCCGCTTGAAGAGTTCCCTTCAACAGGAGCACAACCTACTATTTTTCAAAAAAGAGCTGCCTTGAGGAAAAGTTTATCGGATAGCGGGTATAATTTTGGAATTTTGGGTGCGGGGAGTGATCAGCTTTTGAATGGAAAAGACAGAGATGAAGGGAAGACGGAAATGGGGGAGAAAACGATGAACATGGGGAATGGTTATGTTCTGGACGATGCCAGCGTTGATGGGTCTGGTTTAAATTACGATTCTGATGAGCTTGTAGATCACAGTAAGGTGGAGGAAACCGGTAAAAATGGTGGGAACAGCTCGAATGCAAATAGTACAGTTACTGGCGGAGATCAAAAGGGGAAGAGGAAGGGTATGCCTGCTAAGAATTTGATGGCAGAGAGGCGCCGTAGGAAGAAGCTGAATGATAGGCTGTACATGCTGCGCTCTGTTGTTCCAAAGATTAGCAAAGTAAGAATCTTCCTTCAATAATTTTCTCGTGATTTTAGTTGATATTTTAAGAAAGTTGCATTAATGTCTTTCACAGGGAGACTGGTGGAGAGTTAACTCTTATATAACTCATTCGAAACAACCTAGCATGCAAAATTGGCGGTCATCAAATCTTTTCTTTACTTTTTTATGGTTCTCTCCTTTCTTTGTTAGTATAAAAGCAGATGTTGCCCTCTAGTTTTCTATATTCCTTCTACAGCTCGTGCACTCCAATTATTGTTCAATTCTTAATCTCATTTTATATTTGAAACATATCCACTCCTGTCTTGAATTCTTTGGAACGGATTTCCAAATCTTAATTTTCCAGTATAAATTGGAAATCCTCCTAAATATTTAAAGCAAGGGTGGAGAACCTTGAAACTATGATGTGTGTTAGGCCAAGGAATAAGCTATGAATTTGATGGGAATTTATCCAAATGAGACCTTAATGGTTTATTTCCTGCTCGTCCATTTTAACTTTGAATAAGATTTTGGAATTCAATTTGATGATTGGACGTGAGAAAGCTTTTCCTAATGATTTTTAGGAATTGTTTTTTTTTTTTCTTTTTGGAATTCGTTTACAAATAAATGCATAGTTTGACTACAAAAAAGGAAAGTGTCCATCTAAAAATAAATAAAAAAATAATGCTCATAGGGACTTTCATGTTTGAAATGCATTATTTCATTTTCCAATTGAAATTCATTACAAGATCATCCTTTATTATTTCCTAATAGGGTGTTCTTTCCTACTAGTTGAAATAAGTGTAGGTTTTTAACGAATTCTACAAAAATTCTTACTTTTTTCCTGAACATAGCCTTGAGCTGTTTGTTTTTAAGTTAAGGTTTGAATTTTACAGAGGGATGGCAATTGACAACTTGAGCCAGATAGAACATGCACTAGATAGCCTATATTGTCTTATAAAGACAAGGACATGCAATCTAGGATGTTATCTTAAATTTAGTACTTTTGAATTCATGAGACCCCTTCAACCCACGATTGAAGTTAATAAACTTACTAATTTATGTAGAATTATATTATTAAGGGAGTTATAAATCAAGAATGGGAGAACCCAATTCTGTAATTGGTTCTGCATTTATTCAAAGAGATGAAATGTTAACTCAAGAAGCTGCTCCAAAAGTAGCAATTTCAAAATGGCATATGTATTCTGATTAAGAATCTGCAATCAGCAATATTTTTTAAATTTCAGTAAAAGGTTTTGAGGTTGGCTGAAGAAAGCTGTTTGGACATTTTATTTAAGTTCAGAAGTGGCTGGTTTTCCCTAATAAAGAGGTCAAGTGGCTTCTGAATACCTGCTCAACATTTGATGTTAACCAAAAATTCGAAGCTCTGAAATTAGTAGGAGAAGTTGCACTGTAAATCAAACTTTTCTTTGGCTTTTTTAGGTGTCTAATATCTTCTTGTTACCTGTTCAGATGCTGAACCTACTTGATTAGAAAGTACATTATATCCTGCTAAGGCAGAGCTATTTAAAAGGGGTGCTGGAATCTTTAAAATTGTTAGTCTTGTTCTCTGGATACAACATCACGTAGTTAATATTTTGTTTCTCTTGGTGACAGATGGATAGGGCTTCAATTCTCGGAGATGCAATTGAATACTTGAAGGAGCTTCAACAAAAAATCAGAGACATCAATAAGGAATTGGAGTCGACCCTTCCTGGCTCTTCGTTGGCACCCACACCTACCTCTAGTTTCCATCCTCTGACACCCACTGCTACTGCCTTGACTAGCCGCATCAAGGATGAAATTTGCCCTAGCTCACTGCCAAGCCCAAATGGCCAGCCTGCAAAGGTAAAATTCTCTCTTGTGCTGAGTTCCTTTTAATTTTCTAAGTCAAAGTTTCAACTTCTCTGGTTACTGAAAATGACCATTTCCCTGGTCTTGGTAAGTAGAAACCTGTTTGAGGAGAATAATTTTTTTCTTTTACTTATAGATTTTCTTTTAGGCAGCAAGCAGATGAGATGACTTACTACTGTATTTGGTCAACATTGATAATGTTGATATGGTTTTTTTCTCAATGTGTAGGTTGAAGTAAGGATTAGAGAAGGAAGAGCTGTGAACATCCACATGTTTTGTGGCCGCAGACCTGGCCTTCTACTCTCCACCATGAGAGCTTTGGACAACCTCGGCCTAGATATCCAGCAAGCCGTCATCAGCTGTTTCAATGGTTTTGCGATGGATATCTTTCGAGCAGAGGTATAGTTTTTACGTTAAATGTTGCTTGAATAATATTAATTGTGTAAATTTAATTAGATTCAGTTATAGAAAAATATAATCACGCTCTAAAAAATAATGAATTGCAGAACAATAAAAATATAATTTTATATGAAAAATTCTATAATACAGAAGAAAAAAACTAGAAGTCAAACTTCGAATTAATCCACAATTAAGAAATAAATGAGTACAAACAATCCCAAATTAATTACGAACTTGGATTCTACAATCAAGGAATACTCATATTATCTCACTAACACCTTACAATAAATTCCCCCTAATTCCTAACAATGTTCAAAGATCTAATCAAAAAATAAAAAAATCCAGACTTTTCTTTGATTTTTATGCATCCAAAAGGAATTTTATACTCTCTTTTTTCCAAGTGCTCCAGCCCTTTATTTCTTTTTTTTTTCTTGTGTTTTATTTATTATATATCTCATAAACCCAAGTATGTCCTATAATATTTTTTTCTTTTTCTATTCGGCTTAGGATTACTCCTACACAAATAAAAACACCAAACCCCTAAAAGAAACTAACTCCTATATATACATCATATATATATATATATATATATATATTGTCTTTCTGTGGAACATGGGCTGGACCCACTTAACAGCTCCAATCTATTGGGAGAATATCTGTTCTTCACCAATCACTTGGAGTTCAGTCCTGGTGCCTTGCTAAAAAACTGGTACTTGTCTCGAGTCACCACTTTTATTAACATATCAGCTTAATTTTTATCAGTTTGAATCTTCTTCAAGAAATTTATATCTTTCTACATGGCTTTCATCCACTAAATTTTTTCCTCGTGAGTTGAATTCTTGGAAGCTTTCTTGTTTCCCCTCCACCTTTGTTAATATGTTGGCTGGTTTTTTTTTATCAGTTTAAATCTTCTTCAAGGAATTCATCTCTTTCTGCGTGAGTTTGAATTTCTTAGAACCTTTTTCGGTCCCCTCTCTTATGCAAGGGTAACATACTCAGGGTTAAGGTATCTAGTTGATAGTATTGGCTCTTTAAAAGATCTTATAAACCGAGGTCCTGTAACCTAAGGTGGAGGGGACTGCTCTCCCTACTCAATACCCTCTTCATGTGCATCATCTACATCACCTACTATTGGTGCAGTTTCAATGCTATGTTCTTTATTTAACTCTTCACCTGTGGCGTGCTCCATTGTGGGTGAAGAATCAGTTCGAATATTGGTGCCTGACTTTTTAGTTGTCTCTGATTCAAATATGGTTTTATACTATGGAAATACTACGCATATAGATCTAACAATTTTTTTTTTTAGTGGATCTCATAACTTATACCCAAACTCTACATTTCTATAACTCAAAAAAACACATATAGTGGTCTTGTCATCAAGTTTCTATCTCTGCTCCTTAGATATATGCACGAAGGTTTTACAACCAAACACCTTCAAGTGAGAATATGAAACATTTTTCCCTGTCCAAACTCTCAAAGACATTATAATCCAAAGAACTATTGGAAATCAATTCAACAGGTAACATGCAGTAAATAAAACTTCATCCGAAATGGCTTAGGTAGGTTGGCCAACTTAAGTATACATATGATATTCTCAATAATGGTTCAACTCATTCTGTTAGTGCACCATTACGTTCGAGAACTGTCTTCTCACGCTTAATGTCATATTCTAAACAGTAGATTTCCAATTCCTTTAATGTATCCATCTCTATTGTCCACTGCATGCACTTCATGGGAACACATTTCTCTCTTTCTACCATGACATTAAACATTTTGAAGTACTCCAAAACCTGGTCATTTCTTTTTAAAACAAAGATTCAAATCTTTTATGAAGCGTCATCAATAAAAATAATAAAAAATCTATTACGGTCTAAATTTTCAGTTTCGATGAAACCACATACATAAAAGTAAACTAAATCAAACACATTATTTTTTCTTTTAAAAGTATTAGTAAAAGAAACTTAATATTGTTTTCTTTCAAAAAAAAAGAGAAACTTAATCCTGTTTGTCTAGCAGTCAAATGTTACAAGAGTTTAAAGTCATACTTTTGACAAATTAAATGAGAGACTTTTTTATTAAATTCTGAAACCTTTTATCACCATTATAAGATAACATTATGTACATGTGTCAGACAAAGCATCATCTTCAACAATGTTCAGTTTACTGTCAAGCAGGCTCGTCTGAGTTTTTATGAACCTTATCTCTAGCTACCACCATAAAAGCCTTAATCAACTTCTATTCCTGATCATCAATGCAGCTGTAGTAACTACCCAAATCCAGTGAATAAGTAGACAACAAATTCAAGTGTATACTAGGTACATGTTGCACATCTTTCAGTGTGTATAAGCACCCTAAACGAATTGTACTAATGTTTACTATATCTACGTGATTGACATTATCCATCTTCAACCTACCACATTCCCGTCAGTTGTACTCAGAAAAAATAATCCACTTAACATAAATATTTGTGATAGCATTACATTGATCTTCCATCAAAAAATTAATGGATATAAACAATCTTAAATTAATTACAAACTTAGATTCTACAACCAAAAAGTACCCAAATTATATCTCTAGCTAACACCATAAAGATCTCAGTGTTTGTAGATAATAGGGTGAACAAGAGCCAACCGAAAACAAAAAAAAAAAAGGAAACAAAACGAACTGATTAAGAGATCAATTTGATATATTTGGTTTTTTTAGTTAAATAAAATTAAAAACCAAAAAACCAATATCTCAATTGGTTCAGTTTTGGTTCTGGTTCCAAAAGTTACTGATCTGACACTACAAACTATTGAAGTTTTTAATTTTTTCTAGTTAAACAATTTGATATTAAATTATATATCTAATTTTTTAAATTAATAATTGTACAAATTGATTTATATATTTAATTAGTATGTTTGTAAAATTTTAGAAAATCAGATTTTATTAATTTATTTTCAGTTATTCAATTTTGGTTATTATATGTAGGTTGGTTGATTCGATCAGTTATGGTATTTTAGTCGATTTTTTTTTTTTGTTTTTAAAATATTTTAACTGAATTGATCGGAACAACTGAACCAATAGTTGATAAATAATAGAAAAGTACTTATTCAAACATTCTTGAATAATAAATATTCATTAATTTTCACGCGCTGAAAAGGATTTTTTTTCCTCTCATTTTTCCAAGTGCCGTAGCCCTCGTCTTTCTTTGTTTGGTGTCTTTGGTTATATATCTCATCAACTCAAACCTCTCCTTTTATAATTTTTTTTTCCTTTTCTACTTGTTTTATGATTTCTAATCCTATATAAATTAAGTACCAAATCCCAAAAAGAAATCAACTCATATATATACCTATACTTGTATACATAGTCTTTTTCGTATAATATGGGTTAGACCCACCTAACAAATTTTATGTGAAATTAGTTAAGAGGTGTTTAAGGGGCAGTGCCATGTCTCAAATTTCCATTTCTTTTTTGTTTTATTTGTTTGTCTGTTTCTTTAGCTTCAAATGTCTGAAAGTTCCAATTAAAAAGAATCTATAACTCTAAGTGAAAATGGAAGATAGTGTAGAAACGAGGACATTTCTCGTTCGGTGAAATTAAACAATCTGCTATGAGCTTTTCTATGTCGGTTATCATGAAATATGTGGTATAACAATGATATACTCATGGCTCATCTTTTAATATGGTTCGAAATAAATGGTTCTTTTCCTTGTTTGAATTTGCATGAACTGAGATGCGTCTTTTATATTGCAAGAAGAACATCCATAATGTGGTGTCCATGGCCATTTTCTAACTTGTGAAGGAATGTCAAAAAAAATTATGGAGGAATAAAGCTCCAATTGAACATTTCCTTTCTCATTTCTTTGTATGGTCGATCAAGAAATGGAATGTTGCCGCGTTAGTAAAGGAAGGAGAGAACCAGTTGTGAGTAAAAATTTGTAGCCACTGCTGGGTTTCTTAAAGAGTTTCTTTAACATGTATTTTTATTCTTCAGCAATGCAAAGACCAAGATGTTCATCCGGAGCAAATCAAAGCAGTACTCTTGGATGCAGCAGGATTCCATGTGTGATGTGAGTTCCACCAAGACTGAGGATTGGAATGCAAAAAGCAGATTTATTTTTTCTTCAGATGCAAAAGCTGAGGAATTGTATTCTCTTTCGCATGCCTCCAATCAGATTAGGTAGCAGTTCTTTGATGTTCCTAATTTAGCTTTCGTTAGTGATAAAATCACCATCGACTTAAACTTTTTGAAGAACTGATTATCTGTAAGTTTTCATATTTTCATCTTCTCTCAACATTTCCAATAGAATATCTCATTTAGATTACTGAGCATTTTTTAGGAGTGGGGTAAGGCACTTCTTTTGAGAATTATTTGAAGGTTTTCTGGCTTGTATTTCTTGAACTATGGTAGAGGCAGATGCTAGAATTAACTTGACTCGCCTGTTATACAGAGAGATTATTTTTCATAGTTTTGATCTAATTAATGATAAAAGTAAATGCTTGTATCTGTTTGTTAAGTAAGAAATTGAAGGTAAAGAGGGAAGATAAGGAGTAAATATAGCAGGGAAGGAAAGAGAAGAGAATCCAGGATTTTTATGACTGTATCCTTTCCAATAGCTGTATTATACAAAAAGTTGATCCTTTGGAACAATAAAACATCACGTTACAATTGTTTTCAAAAGATATTATGATCTAAAATTTAGAGATGAATAAGAGAAAGATAAGAAAAGAATAGAGAGAGAAATACAAAAGAAAGAGAAAAAGAATGGAGAGAATTTTCTATCAGAAAAATTGGAAAGATTTTTACTCGTCTTTCAAATAAATTTAGACTGATTACCAAAATAGAATCTAACAGCAAAAAGATTGTAAGGGTCATAAGAGAAAAACTTTGTTAACAACTACTTTAAAACAAACAATTAAAGAAAGCACAAGAGTAAAGAACCTTGTCCTCCCATGGAGTCTCATCAGGCCCCAAATCAACCCACTGCTTTTTCCACTGACCCATATCTTATGAGCAGGGAAACATGGAAGGTGTAAAGGTCATTTCTGCTAGTTTAAGTTATAGGCTGATTTTCTGAAGCACTTTCCAGGGCCCATATAAGTTAGGTCTTAGCTTAAGATTTCTTCTTATATCCAATTTTTATCAAAATTTTACAATTCACTATTCGAACCGTGTGATTTGATTCAATACCAAAACGATTCAAATTATTTTAACGAATAATAGTTTACTATGACTCGTAAATGAATCTTAATAATTGATCGTAAATTGCACAATTTGATTAAATTTTTTGCAACCACTTGATTATGTTCAACACAATATATACCATCAAGAGAATATTGATGATGATTTATACAAGTAATTGTCTTTTGTTGTTTTAGAAAATAAATTATGTTCGTGTAAGAAGATCATACATATTTAAACAATTGTTTTTGGGGAAATATATATATATATATGTTTTCTCAGCTGCCTATAATTTCAGTATAAAATTCATAAACGATTTTTAAAATTTTTTTTATTTATATAAAATATACGATGTAACAATGCATTTTTATCATAAACCATCTTTCAAATTTTCGCATCTAATTCAATTCTTAATTTAAAAAAATTAAAATTTTGATTTGTAGTTTAAATATCAATGTAACAATTATTATTGCAGTTATTCCCACCTTGAATTTGCTTTTAGTTTTGTGACATTTGCATGGTGCTTGCAGATATCTATTTCCACTAGAAATTTCTCTGAAATTGGTTGTTGGGGGTTATAATTTTAATCTTTATGAAGAAATGAGATGGTAAAATTGCACATGTGGAGCTTCAAAATAATGCATTTGGTGCTTAACAAAAATCTTTTTTTTTTTTTTTTTCCGAGTAATATTACCATCCATTCAAACTAAGCAACTAAAGCAAAAATTGGATTCAAAATTCTGATTTCATCTTTTTAATTTTCAAAAAGATAACCCTTTAAATGTTAACTAAATCTTTTAATACAGACTTCAATTCTAGAATGGTAAGCTAAATTGAATTGAAGTGGCGTTTCCGTAAGTTCCTACCAAAAGTAATTTGCTAAGAATCTTGTTTTTTTATGGGTAATATTATATATGTTTTGAGGCATTTTATGCAACTTCTGTACATCATTGATTAGGAGCCAGAAAAACGTTGGCCATTCTTAAAGGTGTTGGCGACGCCCATAAAATGTAAATATTTATTGAACTTGTCCGCTAGTACTCTGTTCGCTTCCAATCTTCCCGGTTGCTCTATGAAATCCATGAAGACAGTGAATCCGGACTCCTTGGGGAATAAGCCAGCAGAATTAAAGAGTCGTTTGGATGGATTTCTTTTTTCTTTTTTCGCATATAGCAATTACATGTTGCATGATATATCATGATAAAATGAGAATATATCTACACAGTAGTAAATGAGATGACGTGCATATTTAAAATGAGTAGTGAAAAGAAAAAAGGATGGAAGTTGAAAGTTGGGTTTTATGTGGAAGTTTGGTAAAAGGGCAATAATGCAAATGGTGGGTTTGGAAGTGGCAGGCCACGTATGGAGAGAGGCAATGGAACTGTGAAAGTTGAAATGGTAAGAAAAATTAAATATTATTTGACTGATAGAGGATGATGATGGTCATCATATTTGAACAAGACTTTAGTAGAAGAAGTGGAGTTGATTGAAAATAGGGGAGATGGGGGAAGTATGAAGATAACTCATAGTGCTCTCTGCAGACACAGTTGTGATTTGTGATTTCATGTGTGTGTTTAAAATTCTTGCATTCATTTATTTACCACTAGTAGCAGTTGCAGTCAAAAAATAAATAAATAAAATGTATGAGGAGACAAAGAAGGGATGATCATTAATCAACCAATTATTGACCGAGGTAATGGGCAAAAGTCAATTAGCCCACCCAGTTCCCTCTTACAGTACCCTTTTTTCAACTGGATACAGCTGCTTGTCT